CTCATTAACAAATGTACAGTGACAATGTTAACATGCTCATGTTTTTAAGGTTTAATGTTAACCATGTTCGCCATTCTGGTTTAGTGTGTTATCATGCTAGCATCATGCTAACTAATTGTCACTTAACACAGCTGAAGCCGAAGGGAATATCTTTAGTTCTGCAAGTATTGCTTTATAAACTGCATTGCACAACTTTGTCACCTGCCTATGGCGTTCTATGTAAAGTGACGGGTTCACCAAGGGGATTCATCTAGAGTTAAACATGACCGGACTAAATATCATGACAATCCATTCACTAGTTGTTGATGAACAACTATACATGTCACAATCCTTTTCTGTCCTCTGTTGCGCTCACATATTTTAAGTATATGTAATAATAAACAAAAACATGTCTAAATTGTAATACTTGTATCTTATATTTTCACCACATTAAAACAAATAAATGTAAAAAAAATAGCTTTACTGGCTCACAGAGCCACAGATAAACCCAGTCATGTTGCACAAGTATTGTCCTGTTAATGACTAAGTTAATCTGGAGAAATAAGAATATAAACAGAAATATAGCAGCGTTAAGGACCATTGGTGCGTGAGCACAGTGATCCCCTCACTTTTTGATCTTCAGCGGGGTATTACAGTATTTGAAACTTCATGAATCCTAAGAAAAGTCTTATTACACGTAGTGTCAGCCTGTACTCAAAACAGATGTTGCACCGTAAAGTCATTTTAAAATGGCCTTGAGCTATTATTACAAAAGCCTAATACAATCATTTTCTTTCATTTCTTTTTACAGTTTATCCTCTCTGAAAGTTTAGTAAGCTGCATGTGTGACTGCACATTCATTGTTGTGTATTTTTACACTGTAGCAGAGTGCCGTTTCATTTCCTCTACCTTCTTGGAAAGGATGACTCATGCCTGTTTCCTTTTTTGAATATGTAAATGCATGTTTGATGGCAGACGACACGCCCAGGATGGCTGGATGAGTTTTAGTTTTAGACCTGCCTGGCCTATTTCTGCCCTGATCCAGACACTTTCCCTCCTCCTCCTATCCCTCTCTGAAGTGTGAAGTTCGTAGCAGCAGGCTTGTGTGCTATGATAGCAGTAATTGGTCTAAAGATGGAAAGTTCACGCTCACTTTGTCACTGAACTAAGAAGCAAATTGTTTTCGGAGTGTGTTTTTTTTAAGTGAGGCTAGTTAAGAACAATATAGCATCAAAGCGCTATTTAACAGCAAAGAGGCTGGGATGATGATGAAGGGGACAGTGGAGAGACTGGCACTTATTGTCCAAGTTGAGAAGCAGAGCTCCGTCTTGTACGACTTTGTTTCAGAGCGGGGCGTCTGAGAATAGCTCCCCTCTTCGGTACCCCCTCGTCTGAGGAGGCGAGCTTTGCACTCCGAGTTTTTTTATTAGCCTCTATGGTCTGATTTGTTTAAGGAGAGGCAAGGTGCCAAGATGTGGCTTGGCTCCCATTTTGCACCAGTGTGAGTGCTGGATTTGTTTGGGGTGGGGGTGGGGGGGGGGGGTGCAAAACTAAAGCACAGTTACGCAGAGTACACACAGACACACACACATTTAAACACAATGTACTTTTATGCGTTCTTCACTGTGCCATTGTGTGTGCTGGCCAGCGTACATAACTTCCCTTATTCACAGTCATTACAGAACACTAACACATGGAGAGAAAAATCTTGTTTTAAAAAAGAAATGGAGACAGTAAGAAGAAGGGGGTGAAGAGAGGGAACATATTATTGCTCACAAAGAACTAGGGGTTGTGCCTAAACAGAATTTGCCTATATATCAGTTGCCTGAAGATGTTTCTTAAAGCCGCAGGTCCTTTTGGCTGAATCTCCTTATTAACTCAAATAAGAAGAACATTTTAACTTTTTCAAATGTTGCTGAAACTCTACACAACATCATCTGGCACTGCGTTCACAAAGAATACCTTACTCACAATATGACTTTCTAACATGAACTCCACATTTCAAGGCTTACCTCACAATGGAAGCAATGAAAGATACAAAAAATTGTCTCAGTGATGACGCAATGTTTCGGTCTTGTTGTATTATAATCCACAATGCACTAATTCACCATCTGACGAACTTTCAGAAATCCTGCATTTATAACTTTATAATACTTCCCCATTGTATTTTTAATTTGTTTTAATTATTTGGAGTAAAAGCATGAATCCTGTCTTTATGTCAGGTTATGTAACACCTGCTTGGATCCTGAGAAACAACACACTCTGACTGATAAGCCTCATAAAGATCTAAATTCAAATAGACTTTGTTACCGAAAGAAATGTTTTGTCTATCTAGCAGTTTATCCACGTGGCTCAGTTTTCTTCCCGGTGCAGCTGAAGGTGACAGATGAGGACATGTTTGTGGTTTTACCATCTTTATCTTATCAGGGCTGTCATCACTAACACACAAGCTGAGAAACCTTTCCTCCTTACTCTGTTTCTGCTCTGCACGCGAACACATTCACAATGAGTTTCAGAATAA